GATGTAAGGGATCTTTTAAAGTCAAGTTTTTAGTTTTACTTGTTTTTGTTGTTGTTTTCGAGATAGGATCTCTGTCTTCCTGGCTGGAGTGCAATGGTACAATCTTGGCTCACTGCAGCCTCTCCCTCCTGGGGTCAGTCGGTCCTCCTACCTTAGCCTCTCCGGTAGCTGGGACCACAGGCGTGTGCTACCCGCCCAGATCATTTAGTAGAGATGGGGTTTCACCACGTTGGCCGGGCTGGTCTTCAAGTGATCCACCTGCCTTGGCCTCCCAAAGTGCTAGAATTAAAGGCATGAGTCACCATGTCCCGCCAAGTCAAGTATTTTTAAGACAAGGAAGAGAAGGAAAATTAAAATGTAAGAATATAATAAGTAAGGCTGGGTATGGTGGATCTTACAGCACTTTGGGAGATTAAGGCAGGAGGATTGCTGGAGCCCAAGAGTTCAAGACCAGCCTGGGCTACAAAGGGTCCCTGTCTTTACAAAAAATAAAGAAACTAGCTGGCTATAGTGGAATGCACCTATAGTTCCAGCTGTGTGGATGCTTCGGGTAGGAGGGAAGCTGAGGTGGGAGGATTGCTTGAGGCCAGGAGTTTGAGGCTTCAGTGAGCTATAATGGCACCACTGCACTCCAGCCTGGGTAACAGGGCAAGACCTGGTCTCACACACACACACACACACACACACACACACACACACGCACAAAAGCAATTACTGTCGTCGGCCTATTTGTAGTGCTATAGAGATGTCAAAACTGTTCATTTTGCATAGGATGAGCAAATGTTAACTATTAAAAACAACTTCTAAAAAGAATTTTCCATTTGATTCAGTTTATTCGGAATTTAGCTTATATAGTGTCGTGTGTGCTGTGTCAGTCATTCCTACTGGATTGTGAACGTGGATGCTGCCTGTTTTGCTTACCGGTATGTTCCCAGGGCCCGTCTGATATGAGGCTCCTGTCCAATACATGTTTGTTAGGTGAATGAATGAGTAAACATCAGTGTGGGCTAGAGCTATCGGGGTGTGGCCTTCATTAAGTTAATCTAGAAAGTTGTCACAAGATGGAAGATGTTAGGGCGACAAGCGCATGAAGCCCAAGGGCGCCCCTCGGAGCTCTGCCATCAATGAGGCTGCAGCGGCAGCCCTTCTGGTCACGTATCCTGATGTGGGAAATGAGGGAATGAGGGGATGCATTGGGTTGTCTCCTTTTTTTTTTTTTTTTTTGAGGCTGAGTTTTGCTCTTGTTGCCCAGGTTGGAGTGCAGTGGCACAATCTTGGCTCACTGCAACCTCCACCTCCCAGGGTCAAGTGATTCTCCTGTCTCAGCCTCCCAAGTAGCTGGGATTACAGGCATGTCCCATCATGCCTGGATAATTTTGTATTTTTAGTAGAGACAGGGTTTCTCCATTTTGGCCAGGCTGGTCCTGAACTCCTGACCTGAGGTGATCCACCCACTTTGGTCTCCCAAAGTGCTGGGATTACAGGTGTGAGCCACTGGGCCTGGCTGAAATTGTCTCCTTTTTAACATGCCGAGATTTGTGAGCAGCATAAACTTAAAACATTTAGAGCCAGCTAAAAAAGCATGACTGCTAAGAAGAATTTAATTGCACTATAAGGTTTTATGCTAAAATATCTCTGACATTTGCACTGGACACTGCTTTAAAGTGTGCTAAGAAAGTGGTATTTCTAGTATGGGATATATTGCGAAGATATTCACAAAGCAATATCTTAAAAATTCTCATTAAGCAGAATGTTGGAATTAATTTAGCGTTTTGCTGATACCCTGTCTACTTTCTTTCAAACAAGATTTGAGAGCAGTTCAAGCTAGTTTTTTCCCCACTTGGGCAGAAGTTCCTTAGATGCTATTGAAAGGCATTTTAGGCTGGTTGCAATGGCTCAAACCTGTAATCCCGGCACTTTGCGAGGCAGAGGTGGGCAGATCGCTTGAGCTCAGGAGTTCAAGACTAATCTGGGCAACATGGTGAAACCCCGTCTCTACCAAAAATACAAAAAACTAGCCAGGTGTGGCGCACACCTATGGTCCCAGTTACTCAGGAGGCTGCAGTGCGAGGATCACTTAAGCCCAGGAGGTCGAGGCTGCAGTGAGCCAAGATTGCACCACTGGACTCCAGCCTGGATGACAGAGATGAAAAAAACCATTTTATTTATTAACACTTTTATCTTTTAACCCTTACATTTTTGGTATTTCAGGGACTATAATTAGGAGGATTAGAAGAGGAGAAATGGTTCAATAATGCTATTTTGGCCACACGTGGTGGCTCATGCCTATAATCCCAGCACTTTGGGAGGCCGAGGTGGGTGGATCACGAGGTCAGGAGCTCAAGACTGTCCTGGCCAATATGGTGAAACCCCACCTCTACTAAAAATACAAAAATTAGCCAGGCATGGTGGGGGGCACCTGTAGTCTCAGCTACTTGGGAGGCTGAGGCACTTGAATCTGGGAGTCAGTGTTGCAGTAAGCTGAAATCACACCACTGCACTCCAGCCTGGGTGACAGAGTGAGACTCTGTCTCAAAAAATAAAATTAAAATAAAATTAATGGCTTGTAAACATCAAGAATGACTCTAGTGTATAATTTTCTAAATCGAAATATCTTTAATGCTGTGCATTTCAGTATAAGGAGATGTTTACAGACATCACCACACAAACTCTACACTATTTATAGATTAAATGTTAAGTATCTTAAACCATTACTGCTGGGTGCAGTGGCTCATACCTGTAATCCCAGCACTTTGGGAGGCTGAGGTGGTTGGATCACCTAAGGTCAGGAGTTCAAGACCAGCCTGACCAAATGGTGAAACCCCATCTCTACTAAAAATACAAAAATTAGCCTGTGTGCCTGTGGTCCCAGCTACTCGGGAGGCTGAGACAGGAGACTCACTTGAACCCAGGAGTGGAGGTGGCAGTGAGCTGAGATCGCAACACTGCACTCCAGCCTGGGCGACAGAGTGAGACTCTGTCTCTAAATAAATAAATATAAGTAAATAAATAATAAAAAAAAAAACTAGTTATTCAGGGAAGCAGGACACAAACTCTTGAGAAGTAGAATATTTATGAAGAGCTAGGCAGCAAAAGAGAATCAGGGAATAGGTTTCCTCCAGCTGGAGTACCCGAGTATTCTTTCATATCTCTGTATGGAAAACATGGTCGATCATCATGAAGAGAAGATTTTGTGAAAGTGCTAATTTCTTTCCAACCATTTCATTTAGGATGGAGAAGAACCATCACCAGCTACTGTAATCCTGTGTGTATATTTGCTGATTAATAAGCCAGCGACATTTTTGTTTCAAGTAAAAGTGGTTTTTTTTCTCATAGTATTGTTAGTCTTAAGTCAGTGTTATGCTTGAATTTTACACATTTCACATTTCCTTAAGTGATCCCAGCCCAGACATTATTGAAAACTCATTTCCTCAAGAGAGGCTTATCTGAGCTCTGTAGAAGTATAAATATAACTCTGATGCCCTAATCTAACCAGTCTTTGGTCATGGTATCCACAATATTTTATATTTTGACTTTTTTTTTTTAACAACTTAGGCCCTAAAGTTGATTTTTTAAAAGAAAAACGTTTTTATTTTAGTATATTTAATGGCACGTTTCCTGATTTTTGAATAGGAATTGCTCATCTTCATTTTACATTGAGCCCTGTGAATTATTTAGCCAACCATGTTCACATTCACACACAAACATTTCTATTTCTATTTTTATTTTTTACTGATCTTGAAATAAACCTTTCTTGACTCTTCCTCCTCTATATCCCTGTATCAGCGTAACTTTTGGAAAGAGGTCATTCCTGTCTTTGCATTCTGTCTTAAACATACTCCAGTTCATCTCTCTTCTCTCCCTGTAGATGGCTCTTGTTAGTTTCACCATAGACCTCACTGTTGCTAATCCAACACTCAGTTCTCAGTTGCCTCTGCACGGCTCATGCATAGCATCAATAGATTGGGAAACTCGACCTTTCTTGCTACATTTTCTTCATTTAGCTTCCAGGACAGCACACTATCTGCTATCTTTGAGTTCTTCCTTCCTTATTCCCTAAAAAGCAGCTTCATACAAATGTATAGTTTTATACAAATATAGTAGCAAAGTATGTCAAAGCTAAAGAAGTCATTCAATATTTATATATTTTCATATTAAGATTATGCCAATTAGACCAGGCACAATGGCTCACACCTGTGGTCACAGCACTGTGGGAGGCTGAGGCAGGTGGATCATTGAAGGTCAGGAGTTCAAGACCAGCCTGGGCAACATGGTGAAACCCCGTTTCTCCTAAAAATAAAAAACTTTGCTGGGTGTGGTGGTGTATTCCTGTAGTCCCAGCTACTCAGGAGGCTGAGGTGGGAGAATTGCTTGAATCCCAGTGGCAGGGGTTTCAGTGAGCCGAGATTACATCACTGCACTCCAGCCTGGGAGACCAGGAAAGACTCCGTCTCAAAAAAAAAAAAAAAAAAAAGAAAAGCAAATTAAAGCAGTTTTAACATTTATAATTGATAAATGAGATATGCTTTAGTGTGTCTGTTTTCTGGGTTTGGAATTTCTAGATAACCCCCACAACTCTGGAAATTTAAAAGCTTTTATTACTTAGATTTGAAACTATTCTGTATTGTGTACTGAGTGTTTCTTAAGGAACTCAGCATGTTCCATAGTCAGTAGTCTGATTTAACTAAGACATACCTGAACGAGAGTATCCCTTATTTGATCAGAGATACTTACATTAATATTTCATTTTAAGAGCTGCATTAATAATAGCCTAAATTGTAGTTTAGTTCACTAATAATGCTGAAGTTTTTTGTTTTTTTTTTGTTTTGTTTTGTTTGTTTTGTTTGAGACAGAGTCTTGCTCTTTGGCCCAAGTTTGATTGCAGTGACCTGATCTTAGCTCACTGCAACATTTGCCTCCTGGGTTTGAACTTCTGTTTGAAATATAGGTATCTGGTGGGAGAGAAGCCAGTAACTAACTTTTAAAAATTTGTTATACAGGATCATCTGAACCTTCTTCTATTGCAAAACATGAAGATAGTTTGCTTAAGGATTTATTTCAAAGCTATGAAAGATGGGTTCGTCCTGTGGAACACCTGAATGACAAAATAAAAATAAAGTTTGGACTTGCAATATCTCAATTGGTGGATGTGGTAGGTGTGCATATCCTTATATGCCCAATTTCCCACAGGTTAGTGAGAGCCTGGTGTGTGTCCAGGCACTGTGCTGGGCACTAAGGATTACAAAGGTGATTGAGGCAGTCCTTTTCCTGAAGGGACTCACCAGGGAAAAGTAATGATTATGCCACATGCATGGTAACACACTGCTTTTATATTATATTTTATAGTTTAGAAACTGTTTATCTCAATTTGGTAATTATAAATCTATCTTTAACAAATTCAAAGATCTGAGACACTGTATAGTCCTAAAATGTGTTAAAAATAAGCTCAGAAAGTTTAAGAGTAACTTGTTAGCTTGAACGTAGGGAAAAGAAAAAAAAATTTTAAGAGAAAATGTCCAAAAATAGAGTGATAGATTCTTAGGACATAAAAGCATCACAATAGATCATTATCTTGGGATCACACTTAAAACATTTCATAAATTTTTCCATGCGACATTCATTAGGTAGAATAAGTTCCCTTGTTAACTTGTTCTTATTGTCAAGAGATCCTATCTATTTAAACGAAAACATTCATGCTGCCTTTAAACTAGTTTCTTCTTATTCTGAACATGTATATCAATAATTATTTCCCTGCTGTGTTCCCAGAAAAACCAAGTATATGTATGTGTGTGTGTGTGTGTACATATATACACACATACATATACATGTATATACACACATGCGTTTTAAAATAAAATAGGTGTGTTTTATGTTCTGATTACAAAAGCAATGAGTGATTTTTGTAGAGAATTGGAAAGTACAAAAAAATACAAATGAGAAAATAAAAATTGACTAATTCTACTACCTGGAGATGTCTAACGTCAATAATTAGTTGTGTTTCTTGACAGTTTTTCTTTGTGTATATGTTACAAAATTTGAATAATATTTTAGATATAATTTTGATTACTGCTTTTTCTCTACTATGACATGATTAACATTTTCCTATGTCATTACATCATCTTCAAATATAATTTTTAATGGTTGACTATTTCATCTGTAATTTATTTAAGCATTCTATTTTGAACAGAAGCTTATTTCTAATGTTTTAAATATAATTAACAATGATGAATATATTTGTACACAAATGGCTGAATGTCTCCTTTCTTAAGGGAAAGGCAGTTAGTGAACCAAAGGATATGTCTTTTTCAAAGTCTATTGCTATGTCATCTCATTGCTTCCAGAAAGGTTAATGATCATATATGGGATGTGTACTCAGCCCTTGACTAGTCAATATGGGGAGATTTTAAATGAAAATAAGAAAGTGGAAAAGTAAGGTGGTGGCCAGGCACGGTGGCTCACACCTGTAATCCCAGCATTTTGGAAGGCCAAGGCAGGTGGATCACTTGAGGGCAGGAGTTCGAGACCAGCCTGGCCAATATAGCAAAACCCCATCTCTACCCAAAATACAAAAATTAGTTGGGTGGTAGTCAGTGCCTGTAATCCCAGCAACTCAGGGGGCTGAGACAGGAGAACCATTTGAACCCAGGAGGCAGAGGTTGCAGTGAGCCGAGATTGCACCACTGCACTCCAGCCTGGGCAACGGAGCGAGATTATCCGGAGGAAGGCAGCAAAAATGCAACAATCTTGCATGTTCTTCACATGTACCCCAAAACCTAAAATGCAATTAAAAAAAGAGAGAGAAAAGAAAAGTAAGGTGGGTGGGGCTTACTCTCAAAGATCTTTCTGGTTGAGGCCATTGGCACAGAAATGGTGTAGAACACTGTAGCCCTAAATCCTGATGCCAGAAAGAGCTGGGAATTCAGATCTTGATGAATGACCTTATCAAAGAAGGTAGGGTAGATGAGGTGGCACCTGAACTGGCTTTGTACCAAGTGTAGGGTTTTACATGGCAGAGAGGAAGAGTATTTAAATACGGAGGAACAATATAATCATAGATATGTAAGTGATAACTGAGCCCCTCTGTAGAGCTGTTTACGTCAAAAGATGAATGTTGGCAGCCCTGGCATGCAGGAGTGGTCTGACTGGATGGTGGGGAGGGCCAGGCGGATCTCTGCAGGCCACTTTGTCTTTGCTCCTGCCATGCCTTCTTCCTGGGAGAACTTTCCCACTGGCACTGGCCATTTATTATTCAAGGCCAAATTGATTTGTCAGACCCTTTGTGAAATCTCTCCAGACTCCCTAAGACAGCTTCTCCTGTGCTTAAACTTTTTTTTTTTTTTCACTGTAATATGGTGCCCATGACACTCACTGGTACTCATGTGCTCTGGCATTTCATCTTCAAAGCTGGGTGAACTTTATTCCTTGTCTCTGTCCCGGAGCCCAGCACGGTATCTGGTACATAGCACATGCTGAATGAGTGAGAGATCTGATAGGCAACAACATGGTGAAAGCAGTACTTCCAGAAGATCAGTAAAAGAGTAACGCACATGGTTTTGAGGGGTGAAAGAGATAGTAGAAGATGGGACACAAGTGAGAGACTACATAGAAGAAGAAAGGGCTTGACCACTGAATATGAAAGGAGGCATCACATTTTGAAGACTAGGTGATTAGAATGGAAGAGTAATACATTTGAAAGATACTATTCCTTGTTATGCAAGTAGGGCAGAGAAGATGATGAGTTTCATTGTGGTTTGAGGTGTTAATTCCAAAGAAAGTGTTCACTAGCCTCTGGGAAGTCAGGACTGGCTCTGAGGTGGCAGATGACATCAAGGATGTCCGTCTGGAATTGCTGGCCTGGAGGCGACTGTGGAAAACTTCAATGAGACTTTTGTTTTTGTTTTTGCCCTCACCTCTCACCTCCCACTTTGATGAGTTTTTAAAGTGAGTAGAAAGAGCAGGAACCGAATTCTTGAGGAACATTTGTAGAAAATGTAGAAGGAAGGGCTAACCAAGCATGGAAGTTGGGGAAGGCTTGTTTTTTGAGAGAAGAGCACAGGAAATGAAATGTCAGTGACTAAGAAAGGGGAAGATGGCTGGAGTCAGGGGAGATGCAGGCTGAGGGCCCTGGAGATGGAGAATAGAAACTTCACTGAATTGTGTCTGAGCTGTTTTAGTTCCTTCTATCGCTAAGCTGCCTGGAATCATATGTGGTAGATTCCTGCCTTATTTCCCACATGTTCTGCCTTTTTTTTTTTTTAATCTCATTTTTGGCTTGTTTGTTTTGATTTTAAAGATAAAATCTTTTTTTCTTTCTTTTATGTTTTTTTTTTTTGTTTGTTTGTTTGTTTTTTTTTTTTTTTTTTTTTTTGAGATGGAGTTTCGCTCTTGTTACCCAGGCTGGAGTGCAATGGCGCGATCTCGGCTCACCGCAACCTCCGCCTCCTGGGTTCAGGCAATTCTCCTGCCTCAGCCTCCTGAGGAGCTGGGATTACAGGCACGCACCACCATGCCCAGCTAATTTTTTGTATTTTTAGTAGAGACGGGGTTTCACCATGTTGTCCAGGCTGGTCTCGATCTCTCGACCTCGTGATCCACCCGCCTCAGCCTCCCAAAGTGCTGGGATTACAGGCTTGAGCCGCCGCGCCCGGCTTCTTTTATGGTTTTTAAGACAGAGTCTTGTAGTGGCGCCATCTCTGCTTTCTGCAACTTCCACCTCCCGGGTTTAAGCAATTCTCTGCCTCAGCCTCCTGATTAGCTGGGATTACACGTGCGTGCCACCATAATTTTTGTATTTTTAGTAGAGAAGAGGTTTCACTATCTTGGCCAGGCTGGTCTTGAACTCCTGACCTCGTGATCCACTTGCCTCAGCCTCCCAAAGTGCTGGGATTACAGGTGTGAGCCACTGTGCCCAGTCAAGATAAACTCTTTTTTAAAACAGTATTATCCCCGAAACTCTCCTGCTGTATTTATGCGTGTAGTTAACGTTTTTCCATTTATTTGTGGTTTCCTCCTGGGGGTCATCGTACATTTGTCCATCCTCAGTTTCATTTTTGTTGCACCGTCCATTGTGCTGAGCACGTTATAGATGCTTGGGAGGCATTTGAGGTTACATTAAATGAGCCGGTATCCCTTACAGTAATGGCTGACCACCACATCTTTGGAACCATTTGAGAACCTATGGATTATTCTTTTATCCGTGTCATTGTTGAAAATGCTAAATATTGCTGGGAGCCGAATTTATGTGCGCGTGCACATTTTTCTAGGGAAAGGGCCTATAATTTTCATTAGATTCTCTAAGATGACCTACTGCCCATCATGGGTAATATGTTTACCAGAACTTTCCTACTTATAAATGCCTCTGTTTAGAACTTTTGCCTAACAGGCATATTCAGATACAGGGATCAGCAGTTATGTTGGATGGTGTGTGACTGGGGCGGACAATAGAGTTGGTGAGGTGAGGTTTAGATTTAGGAAGTTTGAGTTCTAAAATCAGTTCTACCACTAATTGGTGGTGTGACTTCAGGCAAGTTGCCCCACTGGGCCAGTTTCTGTATCCAAAAACTACAGCATTTTAATCATGGAAAATTGGTCTTTGGAACTGCACTGTCAGAGAGGTGGCCATGCTGTATTTCCCCATACTCATTCTCCCCATGCAGGGACCTCACAGAGCTGCCTGCATCCCCAGGGGTATGCTTCCTTCTGGTCTATTCCTTTGTCCTGGGTCACTTGCCTGTTGTTGGGATGGGATAAGGAATGGGTCACCTCCAGTTAGCTGAGCGATTAATATTTATTTAACCTCTGCCGTCTCCCCAACTGCCTCATACTTCTGTGAGCCTCTGTGCATAGCATTGTATCCTATACATAATATATTTGTGGCTGGTGATTATGGATCTTTTATTGATTCTCCTGGCTCCATGATATTTAATAAAATTTAATGGAAGAACCATACTTTAATTAGACCTTGAATATTTGGTAAAGGACTGGCATAGCAAAGACACGAGAGCAGAGATATGTAAGTGAGAAGTACCAGGGATCTCCAGTTCTCTATAAAAAAAGTAGGCGCCAAAAGCTTTATGAAATTGGCATGCAAGGCTGTGACCTCAATATTTTTTCTTTTTCTTTTTCTTTTTTTTTTTTTCTTCAGATGGAGTCTCGCTCCGTTGCCCAGGCTGGAGTGCCGTGGCATGATCTTGGCTCACTGCAACCTTGGCCTCCCGGGTTCAAACAGTTCTTGTGCCTCAGCCTCCTGAATAGCTGGGATTATAGGCATGTGCCATCACACCTGGCTAATTTTTTGTAGTATTTGTTTTCAGTGGAGATGCGGTTTCATCATGTTGGCCTGGTTGGTCTCGAACTCCTGCCCTCAAGTGATCCGTCCCTCCTTGGCCTCCCAAAGTGCTGAGATTACAGGCGTGAGCCACTGCACCCAGCCCCCAGGATTATTTCTATATAGTAGATCTACAAGGAGATTCAGATTCTTGCTTCAGTAGAGGCAAATGACCGTAAGAGATGTCCCTCAGGAATGTACAGAAATACTGGGTCTCACTGATTCTAGGAAGCACACTTTTCTGCATTTTAACACCTCTGAAATCATGATGTGTGTTAAATTCATGGCAGCTTGCAATTTGTGGACAGCCTTTCTCCCCCTCTTAGTGCTATGCACATAAAATAACACAGTGCTTATATCTTAGACTGGATCTTAAATTTGAGGAAGCGTAGTAGTTGGGTTGATGAATGTTAAATGTAAAAATGCCAAAGGTATGTTTCAGTGTAGTTTATCTGAAATAGAGTGTGTTGAAAGGAATAATGTGAAATTAGGCTGGAAGAAAGATCCTAGCTTTCTAGAGAACTAGACTGATGAACCAAATGTGGGTACTATGAGAAGAATGTTTATATAACAATGTGAAGTTTATCAAAGAATTGTTTCTGTAATTGAAATAACCTTATTTAAATGTTTATTTTTTTAAGGATGAGAAAAATCAGTTAATGACAACAAATGTCTGGTTGAAACAGGTATGTATAAAATTCAAACAGGCACCCAAGGAGTGACTGGGATACCTATTTTTGTTATAGGTCTCATAGCAGAAAGACAAGAATATGGATGTTTGTGACTATGAATGAATACGTGAATATGTGGCCTTGGTGGATGTGCAGGATACAGAAAGATGAGGGTAGATGGAGTTCTTTTATTTATTCAGCCAATATTTTTTGGAGTGCCTACTACGTGCCATCCACTGTTATGGGCACCGGGGAAACAGCAGTGAACAAAACAGACAAAAAACTGTGCTGTATTCGTCTGTTCTCATACTGCCATAAGGGCTGGGTAATTTGTAAAGGAAAGAGTTTTAGTGGACTCACAGTTCAATGCGGCTGGGGAGGCCTCACAATGATGGTGGAAGGCATAGGATGAGCAAAGGCACGTCTTACACAGCACCAGGCGAGAGAGCGTGTGCAGGGGAACTGCCCTTTAGGAAACCATCAGATCTCGTGAGACTTACTATAACGAGACCAGCACAGGGAAAACCCACCGCCGTGATACAATTGCCTCTCACTGGGTCTCTCCTACAACATGTGGGGATTATGGAGGCTACAATTCAAGATGAGACTGGCGTGGGGACAAGCCAAACCGCATCACCTGCCCTCATGGAACTTCATCCTAGTGGGGGAAAGACAAGTTGTGTATTACCTTAGAAGCTGATAAGCTTGGGGGAAAACACACTGGGAAAGAAACTAGGGAGTATTGGAGGTGTGTACTTATAAAGACGGTGGTCAGAGAAAGCAGCATGGAGAAGATAGTGTCTGAACAAAGGCTTGGAGGAGAGGAAGCAAGCCACACGTGGATCTGCGGAGGAGCGTTCCGGCAGCAGGACCTGTAAGTGCACAGCTTCTGAGGCTGCTGTGCGCCTCGTGTGTTTAAGCAGTTGCAAGGCCACCAGTGTGGCTAGTGGTGAGAGAGCCATTGGGGAGGGCAGGTGTAGGAGACGGGATCAGATGAGCAAGAAGAGGCTGGTGGAGTAGCAGCTGCTTATAGGCCACTGCAATGATTCTGACTCTGAGGGGGAAGTGGGCAAGAATGAAATGAATTATTTTTATGTAGACAGTCCCTTTTATATAAAGGAGTTCTGTTCTTTTCTGGGCCACCATACATATGTCCTAACTGCTACTGAGCGCTTCCTTTTGTTTTTCCTTTATTATCTCTAACTCCAAACTCCTGAAAGGCAGATACACTTTTCTCAGGGTACAGCCCCTGTTGATCACAGAATTGTAACTGTGTGGAGCCAGGGCAAGGTGTTGAAATATGCAGAATGTGCCATAAATCCAACTCCCATTTGCATGGACCAGGACAGCCAAATTGGGTGGCAATATGTCTGGAAAAAAGAATGGTTCCCTTGAACCTGGATGTGAAGTGCCTGTGACTTCAAGGCCTGGATGTAATCATTTGGTGGGAGATGAGGTGCTGAGCAGAGCCGTGAACACATCTGGCTCTGGTTCTTGCCTGTGTCTCACACGGACCACGGTGAGAACCACCACCAGAGAGGACAGGGTGATCTGGTGTCCATAAGAAGACAGACAGGGAGGTGAGTGTTCTCTAGCAGGGGTAGAGATGATCTCACGTCCACAATTTCTGATGTGACAAAAAAGTGTAGCATTCAATACTTCTGATTATTACTTTTACTGAAATTGAGGCAGATTTCTTTGTTTTAAAGGAATGGATAGATGTAAAATTAAGATGGAACCCTGAGGACTATGGTGGAATAAAAGTTATACGTGTCCCTTCAGACTCTGTCTGGACACCCGACATCGTTTTGTTTGATAAGTAAGTTATATTCTAAATATAGTTTCATATTTTTGAAATAAAACATATATACTACTATTAGGCACTAATAATTTTTCTCCCTTTTGAAAATTGTTGAGATGTAAAAATCAAATGACATGACCGCATGTGCTGGGTGTGATGACATGTTTACAGATGAGGAAACAGAGGTTTATGATGGTGGTTCTTGCCCACGATCACAGAGCTCGCATGCGGGCAGCATAGGGGATCACACCAAGGGGACTAATGGTGGCATTTTCCCTTGATTTACTAGAGTACATATTTGGTGGACTCTAGATTGTTTGGGTATCTTTTTACATTATTGAGGTCATATTTCATGTCAAATATGCATCCTTCTAATTGTGTTTAAATGCTATATCGTTTTCTCACAATGAGGAATCCTGGGTTAATTATTAATTCAGAGGCATCCTACCTAGGTGTGTTTGAAGATTTTTTTTTTTTAACTTAGGGAGAGGATAGTTCTGAGTACCTTTTTTTTTTCTAAGACCACTCCTGGGCAAAGCTAGGAATTTGTGCTAATCTTAAAGCATTTTGTCTGATTTGAAAGAAGGTGTTTGGCCTGAGGACAGAGCAACTGCTACACAAAAATATCTTTAATCTTCTGACACCCTTTACCTCCGTGCTTCTTAAGAAATGAACAAAGCTTGTAAGGACACAGGATGCAGCTTCTTGGAGCATCATTTCATTTTCAGTAATTGAAAACATTTTTGTATTAAACATGGATATATCACAGAACGGTGAGCAAAAACCACATGAATTTGAAGACAAAGAACAATACTTTAAAGAAATCTTATGTTGGTGGCGTGCTTTCCTGCTTGACTTCTCCAGTATATGAATTCACTTGGTGGGAGAGCTTGAGAGGCACAGCTGCTTTTCAGGGTCATGCCTAGCTTGGTGTTGATGGTCTTTTCCCATCAAAGTAAAAAGCGGCCAGTATTTGTGATGAAGGAGGAAGAGCACTGTGCAACGAGTCTAGGAATGTGGATTCAGGTTTTGGCTGTATGCATGCCCATTGTGTAAATAGCCTGAGTCTATTTTGTAAGGTGAGATCCTTTCAACCAGTAGAATCTCAGGCTTCTGTGAAATAGAGATTCGTCAGTCCTGGAGTATTTGCAGAAGATGGGGTTCAGTTCTAGTAGAGTTAGACATTTAAGGAAGAAATTCCTAGAGGAGGGTCCCCTACGCGTAGCAGGTATATCTTATCTGAAGTATGGTGACTTAAAAATTATTTCATGCAATCGGTGATAGGTCTGCTTTTATATTAGGTTTCTATTAATACAGTTCATGGTGCGTTGTGATTGTGTATGTGTGTATTTTAGCGCAGACGGACGTTTTGAAGGGACCAGTACGAAAACAGTCATCAGGTACAATGGCACTGTCACCTGGACTCCACCAGCAAACTACAAAAGTTCCTGTACCATCGATGTCACGTTTTTCCCATTTGACCTTCAGAACTGCTCCATGAAATTTGGCTCTTGGACTTACGATGGATCGCAGGTTGATATAATTCTAGAGGACCAAGATGTAGACAAGAGAGATTTTTTTGATAATGGAGAATGGGAGATTGTGAGCGCCACGGGGAGCAAAGGGAACCGAACCGACAGCTGTTGTTGGTATCCGCACGTCACGTACTCATTCGTAATCAAGCGCCTGCCTCTCTTTTATACCTTGTTTCTTATCATACCCTGTATCGGGCTCTCATTTTTAACTGTGCTTGTCTTCTATCTTCCTTCAAATGAAGGTGAAAAGATTTGTCTCTGCACGTCCGTTCTTGTCTCTTTGACTGTCTTCCTGCTGGTTATTGAAGAGATCATACCCTCATCTTCAAAAGTCATACCTCTGATTGGAGAGTATCTGGTATTTACCATGATTTTTGTGACACTGTCAATTATGGTGACCGTCTTCGCTATCAACATTCATCACCGTTCTTCCTCCACACATAACGCCATGGCACCTTGGGTGCGCAAGATATTTCTTCACAAGCTTCCCAAACTGCTTTGCATGCGAAGTCATGCGGATAGGTACTTCACTCCGAAGGAGCAAACTGGGAGTGGTGGTGGACCAGAATCTTCTAGAAACACAATGGAAGCTGCACTCGATTCTATTCGCTACATTACAAGACACATCGTGAAGGAAAATGCTGTCCGTGAGGTCTGTGACTTGTGTTTGCAAACGCAGATCTGCTTCCGTTCTAAGTTCAGAAGTTACTTTTATTTCTTTTGGCAGAGTAAAAAGCGTGACCCTTAAGTAAGGCTAAGCATAGATGGAGGGCCAGACCTGTTGACAGAATTTTCTATAAAAGAGCTTTACTAAGGTTTGTTTCCATTAAAACACGTGCAAAATGGGGCATCTACACAAATCTCACTTCTCCGCTTCCCTCATCAGCATCTTGGATGACTGCAAAGAAAATTTCGTGTTATATATTCTAAGGAATAATATAATCCTGCCATATTTCTTGGCTCTGACATAATGAATTGTTTTAATTTTGGGGGGTGAGGGCAGTGGGTGAACTGTTTTAATTTTGTCTTCAGTAACTCTGTTTCTAAATTGTGATAATCTGTAGGCAGAACAAGGTTACAATAGTTAATGCAGTTATCAAAAGTTCTTTTAGGGCGGGCACAGTGGCTTCACACCTGTAATTCTAGCACTTTGGGAAGCCAAGGAGGGCAGATCATTTGAGGTCAGGAGTTCGAGACCAACCTAACCAACGTGGTGAAACCCTGTCTCTACTGAAAATGCAAAAAAATTAGCTGGGCATGGTGGCACATGCCTGTAGTCCCAGCTTCTCGGGAGGCTGAGGCAGTAGAATCACTTGAACCCAGGAGGTGGAGGTTGCAGTGAACCAGGATCGCATCATTGCACTCCAGCCTGGGTGACAGAGTGAGGCTCCATCTCAAAAAAAAAAAAAAAAAAAGTTATTTTAAAGAATGAACCTAATGTGAGATTTATAAATATAGCCAATATATTTTTCTAAAATGAATCTTTTTGTTCATTTATAAGAGAATGTTAGGGAAATTAAGAGAAGGTATTATTATGTGTTATGTATTATATATCAGAGGATTCATATGAAGCTTAGTAGTAGTGTTTACTGTGCTTAATTCGCCTAAAATCAAACATCTGCTTAAAATTTTTTATAGAAAAATAACTCTGTCTCCTTATTTAAGGTTAGTATTTGAAATGCAAGAATTGAACATGAATACAATTTTACTAAGGCGATCATATTGGCCTGCATTTTCTTTTTTTTTTTTTTTTTTTTTTTTTTTTTTTGAGACGGAGTTTCGCTCTTGTTACCCAGGCTGGAGTGCAATGGCGCGATCTCAGCTCACCGCAACCTCCGCCTCCTGGGTTCAGGCAATTCTCCTGCCTCAGCCTCCGGAGTAGCTGGGATTACAGGCACGCGCCACCATGCTCAGCTAATTTTTTGCACCATTAGTAGAGACGGGGTTTCACCATGTTGACCAGGATGGTCTCGATCTCTTGACCTCGTGATCCACCCGCCTCGGCCTCCCAAAGTGCTGGGATTACAGGCTTGAGCCACCGCGCCCGGCAAAGATAAATTTTTTTTTTTTTTTTTTTTTTTTTTTTTTTTTTTTTTTTTGAGACAGAGTTTCGCTCTTGTTACCCAGGCTGCAGTGCCATGGCGCGATCTCGGCTCACCGCAACCTCCGCCTCCTGGGCTCAGACAATTCTCCTGCCTCAGCCTCCGGAGTAGCTGGGATTACAGGCACGCACCACCATGCCCAGCTAATTTTTTGCACCTTTAGTAGAGACGGGGTTTCACCATGTTGACCAGGATGGTCTCGATCTCTCGACCTCGTGATCCACCCGCCTCGGCCTCCCAAAGTGCTGGGATTCAAGGCTTGAGCCACCGCGCCCGGCTGCATTTTCTTTTAAAATGTGTAAGATTTCAGTCTTGTCACTGCTTTCTTTCTATGGTGTATTATTTTAAACCTGTGACTCTAGTAACATTTTCATAATTGAATGTACATTAAAATTGTTAATTATAATTTCTAAAGCTACTTTAAATGGAAAACTTTCCATCAGGTATGAGGAGAGAGAATGAATTTGGCGAAATAACAGCCTTTCCCCCAAAAAGGGGCATTTGATGTATATATTTTTTAAAACTTTGATTTTTGCTCATATTTGAATGATTTAATTTCAATAAGACATTCCTTCCTTATACTATTTATTTATTTCAGTAGGTTTTTGGAAAACGTGGTATTTGTTCACATGCATAAGTTCTTTTCATGGAGACCGCTGAGACTTTGGTGCGCCCGTCTAAAAACTTTTAATGCTCTGGATTTGTGAAGTATCTATTTGGTGGTAGCATAATTAAATTAGTTCATAAGGTTTGGAGCTATCAATTAAGTTTTTAAAAGTACATATATTTGTTAGATAATGGTTTAAACTGAGATGGAATTTAATAAATGTCTTCAAAGTATTGTGCAAAAGGGTCATGGCTCATACTACTAGGACCAGGGAGGTGGGTTTTATTTTCAGAGGAAAACTTGGAAGCAGAGAAGTGATGGAGTGTTTACAATGCCCTAAATTCTAAATTATCCTACCCCTTGAAGCATAATTCTTATAGAGGACACCATCCTTCACAGAAGCTCACCCATGGTCAAAGAAATGGCCCTGTAGAAAGGGGGTCCCTGCTGCTCAGTGGCCCGGCTCAGCCTGCTCTTTCCTTGTGGTGGCTCTGACAGGCTGAACCAGCTCTCTACTAAAGCTGGCTCCAGGGAAGACTGGTCTGTGCCCATGAAATTAGACTGAAGTGGTCCCCAGGAAATCCAAAAATAATAAAGTGCGTATGTGGGGAAGATGAACAGCTTTCTAATGTGCATTATTCTGAACAAACTTTTTTTTTTTTTTTTTTTTTTTTTGAGATGGAATTTTGCTATTGTTGCCCAGGCTGGAGTGCAATGGCACGATCTTGGCTCACTACAACCTCCGCTTCCCAGGTTCAAGTGATTCTCCTGCCTCAGCCTCCCAAGTAGCTGGGATTACAGGCACCCGCCACCACACCTGACTAATATTTTGTATTTTAAGTAGGGACGGGGTTTCGCCATGTTGGACAGGCTGGTTTCGAACTCCTGACCTCAAGTGATCCACCCGCCTTGGCCTCCCAAAGGGCTGCGATTACAGATGTGAGCCACCGCACCCGGCCTCTGAATGAACTTTTAATTTGGCATGAAATTAACCTCAGGGTAGAGTCTCTCAAAATATTAAAATAAGTAAACACTACTGGGCAAGAATAAGTAGCAAGAATAACTGTATAGTAAGAATAATTTTTTTAAGTTTATTGTAAAATATCCAAGTAGTCTATTTTAATTTTTGTTTTAAAATTATCGAACTAGACCACTTGTAATAGATTACAAGTTGATGTGAACAAATTTTGTAGTCTCTTTTAAAGCTTATATCTGTAATGGACCATCAGGCTAGTGTCTGTCCCTGAACTGAGTATAGGGTCACTTCTCAGTTAGAGGCAGTAACGGGGGGCAGAGACTGTTTGGCTTCTAACTCAGCGTGTTTGTTATATCTTAAAATATGTACAGAATTTACAACTGTTTAATGTGCTTTTATTTTTTTCATAACAGGTTGTGGAAGATTGGAAATTCATAGCCCAGGTTCTTGATCGGATGTTTCTGTGGACTTTTCTTTTCGTTTCAGTCGTTGGATCTCTCGGGCTTTTTGCTCCTGTAATTTATAAATGGGCAAATATAATAATACCAGTTCATATTGGAAATGCAAATAAGTGAAGCCTCCCAAGGGACTGAAGTATACATTTAGTTAACACACATATATCTTCATGCATCTACAAAATGATGAAAATGTAAGTTATGTGTTAAATATGATGCCAGCTTCAACAGATTAATAGTTGCTAACCTCAATATGCGTTAATAGATGATCCATTGGAACGGTTGCCTGTATGAATGAATAACTGATGAGATAACATTTGATCTTCTAAAAATAGCAGCAAAATATTATCCAGACTGTCCTAGTGAAAAATCTAGTATTTGTACCCTGGCGAAGAACACTAATTTATAATCAACAGTAAAGCTCATCCTTTGACTGGCTGGAAAATTCCAGTTGTATTTGAAGACTGATTTTAAAACGTTTCTGCATTTGGTAAACGTACATACACTTCCCTGTACTCACTGAGTAACAGCTAATCTTTAATATTATACTGCTATATTTAAAAAGCTGACTGCTTGATATAATTACTTAATGTGATGCAGCTTTTCCATAACAAACATTTTTAAAATAAATGAAAAACAGGAACTGGGAACTCCCTTAAGGCTTGCTTAATTCTTTAGATCCTTAAACTGAATAATTATTGTGTTAACTATTTTTGTAGCTTGCCTTCCACTGTGAAGTCATACATTAGCAACTCCTGTGGACACCCAGTAGCATATCCTTAACATTAATTTAAACCCTTTTATCCACATTTTGCACGATTAATAGAACCATCTTCCATGTAAACTGTGGTGGTATCTCTTTATCCATGATCTTAGAACAGTCAGTGCGCTACAATTACATGAACCCATTTAGAAAAACATATTTAGGGCTGGGCACAATGGCTCACACCTGTAATACCAGCACTTTGGAAAGCCGAGGCAGATGGATCACCTGAGGTTAGGTGTTCGAGACCGGCCTGGCCAACATGGTGAAACCCCATTTCTACTAAAAATATAAAAAATTAGCCAGGTGTGGTATCAGGTGCCTGTAGTCCCAGCTACTCAGGAGACTGAGGCAGGAGCATCGCTGGAACTCAGGAGGCGGAGGTTGCAGTGAGCTGAGATTGCACCATTGTACTCCAGCCTGGGCAACAAGAGTGAAACGCCATCTCAAAAAATAAAATCAATAAAAAAACATATTCAGGTTTAAAGGATTCCGTGAGAAAATAATCTTCCAGGATTGAAGACGGTATTCCAATCGGCAGCTAACGCTCTTTGGAAGGCAGAGGAGACCTTGTCTAATTTGCATTTTATTGTAGGCAGGTGTTTAATGCCATTTACTGAGTGAAAGCCTAGTGTGATGAATTTAAATTGCTAGCTACCTTAGCTTGCATACATCCCTGATCCTTCTTACACTCCCATTGCTGTTACTTCAGATTTTTATACATAAATAAATTTTTTTTGAGACAAAGTCTCACTTTGTCGCCCAGCCTGGAGCGCAGTGGCACGATCTCGGCTCATTGCAACCTCCGCCTTCTGGGTTCAAGCAGTTCTCCTGCCTCAGCCTCCAGAGTAGCTGGGATTACAGGCGCATGCCACCACACCCGGTTAATTTTTTGTTTGTTTGTTTGTTTGTATTTTTAGTAGACACAGGGTTTCACCATATTGGTCAGGCTAGTCTCGAACTCTTGACCCTGTGATCTGCCTGCCTCTGTCTCCCAAAGTACTGGGATTACAGGCATGAGCCACCGCACCTGGCCTACATAAATAAACTTTATTGACATCTTCCTTTTGACTTATTGAAACATGAGTCACAGTGGGCTGCAATTCTGTCCATTTTATTTTTGTATGGGAAAAACATAACTAGTGAGACAAGATTCAAACAGTCTCTGTGAATCATCTGTCAGTGACAATGATCATGTTAAGATTCAGAAGCATAGTATGTGATATTCTTTCTTAATAATTTGTCTAAAGCAATGTTTCTCAACCATGGGCAGATATGCCTCCATTTAACAATGGAGACATTCTTGGTTATCATAACTGGTGAAGAAGTAGGGTATGTTATTGGCTTCTAGTGGGTTGAGGCCATGGTACTGCTAGGATACCCCCACTTTGTCCCAACACGTACTTATCCAGCCCAAAATGTCCATAGTGCTAAGGCTGAGAACCCCTGTTCTAAAGGTCCATGCTATGGTCTGAATGTGTCCTCTCCAAATTCGTATGTTGAAACCTAATCCAGAGTGATTGTCTTAGGTAGGAGGTGGGGCCTTGGAGAGGTGTTTAGGCCATGAGGGCTCTGCCCTCATGAATGAGGTTAGTGCCCTTGTAAAATAGACCCCACAGAGCCAGCTAGTTCCTTCAGTCATGTGAGGACACAGCCAGAAGGCACCCTCTGGGGAAGAGGAGCCTCACCAGACACCAAATTTACTGATGCCTTGCCTTCGGACCTCCCAACGTCCCAAACTCAGAAATAAATTTCTGTTGTTTATAAGCCACCCAGTTTACGGTATACTAAGACAATTTATTAATAATGAACAACTAGGCATGATTTCTCATTGTATAATTTAGAATTATGCAAGAGAAATAGCTGAAGCTCTCTGAAATGGAAGCACAGCCTTTAGATCCAGTAAAGAATGAGAAGTGCATTGTAAGAAATGGGTAACAGTGTAGGATTGCTGAGTTAGTATAAAACTCCAAAGAGATTATGAGCTAACTAAGAAGAATCACCGGGCGATCTGTAGTGATACTGAAGTGAATGACTTTTCATATTTCTGAACAGCATTTTTCTATCCAGTTATGTCTCAACAACTAAAAAAAGGAAACTTTTATATGTATGTTCCACAGCACAGCATACGACATCACGTAGAATAATCACATTTTGACATCTCTTTACCATACTAAGAAGGCTAAATGTTCATTTATCCATAATAAATACTCTTGACATTTTTTCTGCATGATTCTTTTTTTGACGAAAACCAAGACAACTGGAAAATAAGTACACCTTGAAACGCCGTAAACAAAGCCGGTGGCATGAAAACAGAAAGCACATTCCTACTGAGAAGCAGCCTCCTCCTGGAGGGACGCGAGGAAGTCTCGCAGGCGGGCACACAGCTCAGTGCTTACGCGTCTTCCCTCGCCATCAGGGGTTGCAGAAACAACCCGGCTGTCCCTAGAATGCACACCAGGGTGAAAACCCACAGAAAAATGCGATCAATCACCATGGCAACGTACTTCCAATCATCTTGAATCTGCAAAACAAAACAAAATGATAAGAAAAAACGTGGAGGGAAAGGCAAAATGAATACATTCTCAGTACTGAAGATTTAACAGATCTGTTGCAGTAGTAGAAGTCATTTGTCTCTATATGTAATAAGCCTTTTTTCCCCCTAATTGATATAGTCTGAGGAAATCTGCCATTCTCAAGTTTCTCTTTATGCAGGAGAGAAAGAGGTATAAAAGATTTGTCTTGTTAGATCTGTTTGAAATCAGAAGTTTCCTAATATACGCATAACCTAGTTTTTCTAAATTGAATTCGAATTTTATAAAGTTAGTGAAACTAGTTACTTAGGCTCCCGTGGAAGGATTCTGTGCCTTGGTTAGAATGGCTAATATAGTCCAACATAATCTACCCTTGTTTCAAAGTACTACTTATCCAGCTGTAGATAGAAATTTCCAGCTGGCCGCAGTGGCTTATGCCTGTAATCCCAGCACTTTGGGATTCTGAGATCACCTGAGGTCAGGAGTTTGAGACCAGCCTGGCCAACATGGTGAAACCCCATCTCTACTAAAAATACAAAAATTGGCCAGGAGTGGTGGCACATGCCTGTAATGCTAGCTACTTGGGAGGCTGAAGTTCGAGAATGAGAAATTCTTGAACCTGGGAGGCAGAGGTTGCAGTGAGCCGAGATCACACCACTGCGCTCCAGCCTGGGCAACAGAGCGAGACCCTGCCTCAAAAACAACAAAATAAATTTCTTTATAATATCTGTTCCAAAACTGAGATAAGCACATCAGGGCAAGTCCATCCTCATCACTCGTTCCTTCCCGCTGCCCTCTCCATGATGCCTACGTGCTCAGAAGTCATTTTTACTTGTAAGGCCGAAGTATCATGGAATACTGTGCAGCAGGCTGAATGTCAGAAATGATTGCTGATAATGATGTAAAATGTAGGAGGAAAAGCAATACCAATTGTATATAATACAGCTTCAATTTAGGCTTGAAATAGGAAGGAAAATTGTATGGTAATTATACTCCTAGACAATTCAGAAAGCAAAGAAGCCATAATTGAATTGAGAAGGAGAGAACCCATGAATCAGCTGATTTTGAAGCAATAATCACATAAAAAAGAGGCGGCATGTAATTTATTAATTTAAGTCTACTGAAATGGGCTGGGAGAGGAAGATTTTATGTTGCCACTGTGAGCTGGAGTAAATGTGTCCCCTTGGTAACACTATCATCATGGGGAAAATTAGAATGATGATGCTGTATTTTCCATAAGGTACTTTGTTTGAATTCCTAAGACTGGTTTCTGTGTGCTTCAAATACACCTTGGGATGTGAGATTCTTGCCCACCCCTTACTGGCCACCTCCTAAGGCTCTAGGAGGCAGAGGGGTGGGAAAGCAGAGACTTGGAGACAAACTGATGAGAATCCCAGCTCTGCTCCTTTCAAGCTGTGAGAACCTGGGTCAATTCCGTGACTGCTCTTAGCCTCAATTTCCTCATCTGTAAAATGGGGATAAGAACAGTACCTCCCTCAGCAGGCTGTATCTGAACAGAGTCCTGAATGAATGGAGCCTAGTGATACTAATGTGGGTCTGTAAGATGACCCTTACTCAAGTCTCATGAGGAAAGATGAGACTTGGGTCTTACACATGAATATAAATTGTGCTGCGGAAAGAGCTAGCTGGACAGAAACTTTATATTCAATTTTTTTTTTTTTTTTTTTTTTTTTTGAGACAGGGTCTCGCTTTGTTGCCCAGGCTGGAGTGCAGGGGAGCGATCGTGGCTTACTGCAACCTCAACTTCCTGGGCTCAAGTAATTTTCCCCACTCAGCTCCCTGAGTAGCTGGAACTATAGGTGCATGCCACTACACTTGTGTGTGTGTGTGTGTGTGTGACGGAGTCCACTCTGTCACCCAGGCTGGAGTGCAGTGGCACAATCTTGGCTCACTGTAACCTCTGCCTCCCAGGTTCAAGTGATTCTCATGCCTCAGCCTCCCAGGTAGCAGGGGTTACAGGGTTACAGGCACATGCCACCACCCCCTGGCTAATGTATTGTATTTTTAGTAGAGATGGGGTTTCATCATGTTGGCCAGGCTGCTCTTGAACTCCCAACCTCAGGTGATCCACCCACCTCAGCCTCCCAAAATGCTAGGATTATAGATTTGAATCACCGCGCCTGGCCTGATTTTTTAATTATCTATAGAGACAGGGTTTCCCTTAGTGGCCCAGGGAGGTTTTGAACTCCTGGGCTCAAGTGATCCTCCTGCCTTGGCCCCCCAAAGTGTTGGATTACAGGCATGAGCCACTGTGCCTGGCTTATATCTAACTTCTAAAGTCTTTAAAGCTTTGTGTATTTTCTGATGAGTCACAAATAGATGAATGTTTATGGCAAAGTAGCCCAAACTGGGAGCTGGCACAGAAGCAAGAGAAGACTACTTTTAAGACCCAGAAACCAGGAAGGTGCAGCCAGGACAAGGTTACCTGGACTGGGGGTGGCAGCCCTGAGCAGGGGGAGGGGCTTGGTAGAGGGGACGGCTAGGGAGAGATCTTTGTTCCCCAGCCTCTTTGCCTCTTTAGTCTGACACGCCCAGCCCAGAGATGCAGGTTCAGGGGGTCCCTCGCGAGCCCAGCAGAGCCTGGCCAAAAGGAAAAGCAGAACTGAGCTGCCCATTGGCTGGTGGAGACCGAGGCTTTCCTCCCCCACCTTGTAGCCCCCTGATTTATTTCTCTTCTTATTGTCATGCCTTTTTTTTTTTTTTTTTGATACGGAGTCTTGCTCTGTCATTAGAATGGAGTGCAACGTCGCAACCTCTGCTCACGGAAACCTCCGCCTCCCGGTTCAAGCGATTCTTCCGCCCCAGCCTCTTGAGTATCTGGGATTACAGGCGCGCACCACCAAGCCTGGCTAATTTTTTTTTTTTTGGTATTTTTAGTAGAGACGGGGTTTCACCATGTTGGCCGGGATGGTCTCGATCTCTTGACCTTGTGATCCGCCTGCCTCGGCCTCCCAAAGTGCGAGGATTACAGGCATGAGCCACCATGCCCGGCCTTTGGCATGCCTTCTTAAGAATGTTTATGGATAAATGTTTTTCCAAAGGCTAAAAAGGCCAGGTGTGGTGGTTCACACCTTTAATCCTAGCACTTTGGGAGGCCAAGGCAGGAAAACTGTTTGAGTCCATGAGTTTAAGACCAGCCTGGGCAATACAGTGAGACCCTGTCTCTTCAAATTAAGAAAAAAAATTAGCCGGGTGCAGTGACACACACCTGTAGCCCCACCTATTTGAGAGGCTGAGGTTGTAGGATTGCTTGAGCCCAGGAGTTAGAGGCTACAGTGAGCTATGATAACTCCACTGCACTCCAATGTGGGTGGCAGAGCAAGGCCCTATCAAAGAAATTTTTAAAAAGGCTAAAAATTTTATTGCAGCCTCACTTTTACTTTATTTATTTATTTTGATAGAGATAGGGTTTTGCCATGTTGCCCAGGCTGGCCTTGAACTCCGGAGCTCAAGCGATCTACCCACCTCAGCCTTCCAAAGTGCTGAGATTACAGGCATGAGGCACCATGCCCAGCCCCTCACTTTTATTTTAATTTATTATTATTATTATTTTTAAGAGATGAGGTCTCACTATGTTGGCCAGGCTGGTCTTGAACTCCTAGCCTCAAGCAATCGTCCTGCTTTGGCAATGCAAAGTGCTGGGATTACAGGTGTGAGCCGCTGTGCCTGGCCGTAGCCTCACTTCAGAGAGACAGAAGCTGGATACAAAAACTCTTCAGCTAGGACTGAAGTTCCACACATCAAGGACCAAACAGCTTCAGTCCAACAGGAGGGACTTGGAGGAGATCAGAGCCAGGGAGGTCATGAGACATTCCTTGAGGGACGAGGCCATCTGGAGGGAAGGCAGCACCCCTGGAAGGTGATCTAGCTGAGTTTGTGGCGGTGTAGACCCTCTGCATCTGAAAGTCTGAATTTCAGCCCCTCCCCAAACACAATTCAGAAAGGGTGGCTGACCCCCCAGGAAAAAGTGAGGTTACAGGCCCCAAATATACCAACTCAGTTATTTAAAATGAAATTCATAGATTTAAAATAAACATAAGATATCAGAGACTATTAGAAACTAAGGAACACTCAGTTTTACAGAAGAACCGAGTGGAAATAACAGGTGTGAAAAATAGAGAAGTTATGATCAAGAACTCAGGACATGGGGTAACTGAGAGGTGGGAGGAGAGACTGTGGCTCTCCTGGGAGAGGTGAAAAGTACTGAGGAGATGAGAAATGGACAACACAAGAGACGCCGATGTATCCAGGTCAGTGCAACAGGGGCTCAGGGAAGAGAAAGGAGGGGTGGGAAGGACTCTACAGAAATCCGAAGTTGGAATCTCTCAGAATTAAAGACGGCAACTTCAGAATGAAATGGCTCATACCAGTGCCAAGCAGATTGGGAGAGACCTACCCAGACATTCCCTACAAATAGAAAATTCGAATAGCTCCGAGGCAGAACCCATTATTCAAAAAGGACCAACACTCAGACTCACTTAAAACTTTTTTTTTTTTCCCCAGGCTGGAGTGCAATGGTACCATCTTGGCTCACTGCAACCTCCACCTCCCGGGTTCAAGTGATTCTCCTGTCTCAGCCTCCCAAGTAGCTGGGATTACAGGCCCTTGCCACCACGCCCAGCTAAATTTTGTATTTTTAGTGGAGACCAGGTTTCGCCATGTTGGCCAGGCTGGTCTCACACTCCTGACCTCAGGTGATCCGCCTGCCTTGGCCTCCCAAAATGCTGGGATTACAGGCATGAGTCACCATTCCCGACAGACTTAAAACTTTCCAAAGTGACACAGGTGAAAAGAACGTGGAGCAATATTTAAGTATTTAAGGAAGAGAATTTCAACCCTAGCTGAAGTGTCTAACCTTAGTTGAAGAGTTTTTGTAGCCAGCTAAACTCCCTCTTTAGAGTGAAGCCATAATAAATGTTTTAGCCTCCAGGCTCCAGAAGGTTTACCCTTAAAGAATCTTGAGAAGGCA